AAAAGACAAAAAAAAAAACCATATTGACAAAATGAATCAGAATGCATTTAGATGGCCTCAGTTTCCAGCCCCAGGCCGCAGAGCGCAGATCTGGTGAGGCAGCCTCCACGTAAGCCCCAAGCCCACAGGGGTCCCGGAGCGCACAGGTAGCTGGACACGAGGCATGGCGGGGAGAGGGAAGGTGGTGTGCCCTGCGCCCCAGCCTGTGCGGTCTGTGTCTGCACCCTGCGTAGCGCCTTTGTAGAGGGTGGCGAAGCGTCTCCCCCAGTGCCTGCTGTCTCTGAGCTGCTTGCTGTAGCAACTTCAGCCCAGCCAGGGAGGCCGTGGGAAGGAACCCTGGCTCGCAGCTTGTTGGTCGGAATCCCGGGCCGCAGCCTGGCTCCTGTGCCTGGTGCCTGAAGTAGGGGGCGGAGGGGCAGTCTTGGGTCCTGAGCCCCTAACCGTTCCTCTGGGGTCTGATGCCATCTCCAGGGAAACCCATTTCCAGGGTCGAATCAAGTCATAGGGCACCCACGCAGTGTCTACTAGCAAACTGAGTTTTGGGGAAGATTTATAGACTGGCCCCTAGAGAATTGATTTTTATGTAGGGAAAATCCCACCCTCATATCGCCGCCCCCCCCCCCAAATTTATGTATTTGAAAGGCAGAGCAACAGTGAGTGTGAGAGAGAGAGATACAGACTGAGACAGATCTTGCAGCCACTGGCTTACTCCCCACATGGCTACAACGGCGAGGTCTGAGCTAGGCTTAAGGCAGGAGCCAGGAACGCCATCCTGGTCTCCCATGTGGATGCAGGGGCTGAAGCACTTGGGCCATCCTCTGCTGCTTTCCCAGGCACATTAGCAGGGAGTTGGATTGGAAGTGGAGCAGCCGGGACTGGAGCTGGCGCTGTGGTATGGGATGCCAGCACGCAGGTGGTGCCAGCCTCATCCCCACACATTTTGGTAACCAGAGTTGAAGCTTTGGGTCCAGTGGTAAGTGTGTGTGAGAGTAGGAATAACCCGGATTTCCCTCTCTCCAACAATTATCAGTGCAACAAAAAGACGGCTGAAAGACTGGAACAGACATTTCAGTCATGAGGAATATTTCTAAAAATTAAATATTAAAATTAATTATATTACATATTTTATTAATATTGAAAAGGGGAATATTAAAAAGGCTAATGAACGTCTGAAAGAGTTGCCAGCTCACACTGCATGAAAGATGCCCGCACCACCACGTATATAGCAGCACCATTTTCTTTTTCTTTTTTTTTTTGACAGGCAGAGTGGACAGTGAGAGAGAGAGACAGAGAGAAAGGTCTTCCTTTGCCGTTGGTTCACCCTCCAATGGCCGCCGCGGCTGCCGCACTGCGGCCGGCGCACCGCACTGATCCGATGGCAGGAGCCAGGAGCCAGGTGCTTTTCCTGGTCTCCCATGGGGTGCAGGGCCCAAGCACCTGGGCCATCCTCCACTGCACTCCCTGGCCACAGCAGAGGGCTGGCCTGGAAGAGGGGCAACCGGGACAGAATCCGGCGCCCCGACCGGGACTAGACCCGGTGTGCCGGCGCCGCTAGGCGGAGGATTAGCCTAGTGAGCCGCGGCGCCGGCCCTAGCAGCACCATTTTCAAAAGCCGAAGCAGGGACTCAACCAAGGTGTCCATCATCAAATGCACAAAGAAAACTTAGTCTGTATACATGCATGGAAAACTATCACAGGGGCCGGCGCTGTGGCATAGTGAGAAAAACCGCTGCCTGCAGTGCTGGCATCCCATATGGGCGCTGGTTCAAGTCCTGGCTGCTCCACTTCCGATCCAGCTCTCTGCTATGGCCTGGGAAAGCAGTAGAAGATGGCCCAAGGCCGGCGCCGCGGCTCACTAGGCTAATCCTCCGCCTAGCGGCGCCGGCACACCGGGTTCTAGTCCCGGTCGGGGCGCCGGATTCTGTCCCGGTTGCCCCTCTTCCAGGCCAGCCCTCTGCTGTGGCCAGGGAGTGCAGTGGAAGATGGCCCAGGTGCTTGGGCCCTGCACCCCATGGGAGACCAGGAAAAGCACCTGGCTCCTGGCTCCTGCCATCGGATCAGCGCGGTGCGCCGGCCGCGGCGGCCATTGGAGGGTGAACCAACGGCAAAGGAAGACCTTTCTCTCTGTCTCTGTCTCTCTCACTGTCCACTCTGCCTGTCAAAAAAAATAAAAAATAAAATAAAAAATAAATAAATAAAGAAATAAGATGGCCCAAGTCCTTGGGCCCCTGCACCTGCGTGGAAGACCCTGAAGAAGCTCCTGGATCCTGACTTCACATTGGCGTAGCTCTGGCCATTGTGACCAAATAGGGAGTGAACCAGCAGATGGAAGACCCCCCCCCCTCTCTCTCTCCCCCTCTCCCCCTCTCCTTCTCTCTCTGTGTAACTCTTTCAAATAAATAAATAAATCTTAAAAAAAAAACTATTCAGCCACAAAAGTGACTGGCATTATTGCACAGCGGGTGAAGCCACCAGTAATGCCCGCATCCTACATGGTTGCCAGTTCAAATCCTGGCTGCTCCACTTCCAGTCCAACCCAGCTCCCTGCTAATGGCCTGGGAAACGCAGCAGAAGATGGCCCAAGTGCTTGGGCCCTGTCACCCATGTGGGAGACACAGGTGCGTCTGCCCATAAGCCGGGTGTTCTGGGAAGGGCGATACTGGTGGTGGGGCAGACCGGCCAGGGTGTAGCCCTCGTCTGCAGACCCGGAACTTGCCTTTTCCAGAGGGATGACTTCAGTGTACGGCCCAGCTGGGGCGCTGGTCTGTGAGAAGAACCCCATGGAGTGTGGTGAGGGCGGCTGAGTGACCGAAGATGCCATCACTGGGGACTCAGACAAGAGGGGACGCTGATGACCGTGTCTCCCTATGGCACTGTGCAGGGGGCCCCTGGCTCCACTCAGCTCCTCGCTGCGGCCATAGGACACCAGTGAAAACCAGCTGTGTGGCCGCTCCCGTGGACACCAAGGCAGGAAGGAATGAACTGGCAATGGGTCTAGGGTCCACGTTGTTGTTGATTGATTGTTTAACATCCGCTTGCTTTATTTTAAAAGCATTACTTTCACGATTTTAACAGACCGCAATAATTCTACTTATTTATGGAGCGCGTGGTGGTATTTGGATCCACATCCGTCAGCTCCAACATTCATCATGTCTTTGTGTTTGGAACATTCAAAATAGAAGTTTTTATTAATGAGCCCCTAAAAGGGAGCCTTGTGGAGGCAGGAGGAGAACCAGGGGGCCGTGGGGGTCTCGGCGGCCAGGAGAATGTGTGGGCCCTGGCTCTGAGGGCCAGCTCAGCCTCAGCAAACACATGAATTGCATTCCAGCACCTGCAAGACGAAGCCAAATGTCTTCCTGTTTTTCTGCTTTCTCTCAACACCTCGGCTTGCATGCCCTTTTATCTCTTTCCATCCCACCCTGGGATGTGCGAGAATTAATATGCCAGCAGGGTTGACCTTGGCTATGAACTCCTGACATTGCCACGGGGAAGCACTCAAAGAGGAGGGCTAGGAGGCCGGAGGCAGAGCAGGTGCACAGGAGAGGGCTTGGGCTCCACGTGCAGAACCCAGGGTGGCCCCCCAGGGTGTCCCTCTGTGATTCTGTTTCAGCCTCTCCATTCTTGCATCCCAGAGCTTTCTGGGCTCACACTTGAACTCAGCACCCACTGGCTGTGGCACTGGGCAGAGTTACAGAGAGGGGAGAGGCAGAGAGAGAGAGAGAGAGAGAGCGAGCGCTGCTGTGTGAAGTGCACACCAAATTTTTGAAAATGCAGAGTAAAAGAAGGTGAACCATCTCACTGACAGTTTTATATAGATTGCATGTGGAAATGGCATTTTGGATCTTGAATTAAAATAGATTATTAAAATTAATTTTAGCAGCGCCTTAAATTTTTTTAAAAATACAAATGAAAGCCAGCCTCAGACCCCGTGACTGGACATTCTGCACGGAGTGACAAGAGGACCCGGTCGCGGACAACGACAGGGTTCAAAGCCGAGGCAGGCGGCCCCTGGGAGGGGGATGTGGGCGGGCGGGGGCGCAGGCCGAGGAGGGGGTGCGGTGGGGAGGCGCGCCCTGGGTGGGCTCCACAACAAGCCCTGGTTCAGGCGGCAGAAGCACAACTCGGCCCACGGCTCCCTCCTGAGCCCTGCGTGGAAGCGGCACTCGGTCCCGCGGGATGGGTGGACAGCAGGGGCCGGCGCCACCAGGGACCAGGGCGGCTTGGCTGAGCCCGAGGCTCGCGGCGGCTCCCGCGGCTGCAGGCGGCCGGGGCGCGGGGCCTGCAGGTGCACGGAGCCTCTCCCTTGATCTCGGGCGCGTTTTCTGTCTGAAACTGTGAATACACAGACGAAACGCCGCACACGCTTAGAAGCTGGCAAATCACGCCCGGAGCGGGGCTCCTCGCCGCAGCGGCTGCCGCCCGGGGGCGCCCCGAGCCCGGTCCTGGCCCGCTCCGCCGCGCCCCCTCTCGGGCGCCCACGACGCGGCCGGGAGCGCGGGTCCGCGGGGTCACCGCAAGCCCCCAGTCCCTCCGGTGCACCCCGCAGCGTGGGGGCGGCCGCCTTTGTTCTCCGCGGCGCGACGGCGCGGGCAGCGCGCGTGGCATCCTGAGGAACACCACCACCACCACCACCACCTCCCGCAACCCGTGAGGACCCCCGGCCGCCCCTCGCGATGCGCCAGCCCGGCCGCCGGCGCGCCCACCTCCGTCTGGCCGCGGGGCCCGGCCCGCGAGCGGCCCGCGCGCCCTCCCGCGTTCTCGGACGGACCCCGGCGCTTCGTCGGAGCGCACGCCGCAGGTCGGAGGGGGCAGACGCCGCCCTCGGGGGGAGGCTGCGGGCGACGTATGAGAGGCGGGGAGGACGGAGGGAGGAGGGCGGCAGCGCGGGGAGGCGGCGGGGCCGTGCCCAGAGCCCGTCCCGGGCGCCGGCGAGCGCGCTGCGGCCGCGGCGGGAGGCGCCATCCGCGGCCGCGGGAGCCGCCGCGCCTCGTCCTCCGCGCGCCCCGCGGCCGCCTCCCTGCGCCGGGGAGAAGCTCCCGCCCTGCGGAGCGCGGGGACCCCTCTTCGTCCTGCTGCTCGCGACGGGGGTCGCCGCCAGGCTCGCCGAGTGCGGGGGCCGGAGCGCAGGGGCCCGCCATGGCTCAAGCGGCCAAACAGCTCAAGAAGATCAAAGACATCGAGGCGCAGGCCCTGCAGGAGCAGAAGGAGAAAGAGGAATCAAGCAGGAAGCGCAGGAACCGCTCCCGCGACCGAAAGAAGAAGGTAGGAGGGGGCCCGGCAGCCCGGGCGCGCGGGAGGGCGCGGGGCGAGCCGGGGCGCGGGGCGCGCGGGGCCGCTCAGCACCTTGGACAGAGGCCGGCGGCCGGCGCCGTTCCGGGACCAACTTTTCCCGGTTCCCCCGCGGGCGGCGGTGGGCTTGGCTGCGCTGCCCCTCGGGCTTTGCGGGAGAGCCGGTTGGCGCCGCTCCGCCCGGCACCTCGGCCGGTGAGCCCCCTCTTCCTCTCCGGCGCGGGAGCACCCTGCGCAGGTCGCTCCCGCCCGGGCGGTCGCTGCCCTTGCCTGACCGTTCCCCGACACCCCGGGGTCCCGCGGTGAAAGGGAAGGCGCCCCCTCGCCGCATTGACAGCGTGTGGTGTTGCTGTCACTCTGCGAGGGCAGCCCATCGGCGCGCTGGGGACGTGCCTTTGCAACCAGGCACAGGTGCTGGCCGGCCTGGCCTGAGGGCCTGGGCAGAGGACAGTCCTGCCTGCGGGCAGGCGTCAGGCGGCCGTGAGGAAGGGCGCAGGGATGCAGACCCCCCCCCCCGCCCCAAGCCACTGTTGCCGCTTTCTGCACTTCCTGTCTGGGTCTGGGGTCGTCTCCTACCCCCTGATGGAAGCACCTCTGCTTAGAAGCACCGTTGGCTGTGCCCACAGGGAGGACAGTGAACAGGCCCGGGGCTCCAGCAAAGGGGTCCAGGGATGTCCCTGTGAGATCGGGGGATGGAGCTGAGCCCTGGCTCCGGGAGCCACCGTGACCGGAGCAGGCATTGTCCTGGCCGCCAAGCTCCTTGACCAGGGCATGGACAGGGGCGCAGGCCTTGGTTAAGAAGGAAGCAGGTTTTTTCTCCTTCTTCTTTTTCTGAAATTGCCTCATTCTGAGAAAGAAGTTTGGAGCTGGCTGCCTGGCACAGAGCGTGGGTCCCACGCGGCTGGCCAGCAGGAGAGCACATCCAGCCATCTCCTGGAGCTGAGACGGAGGGGCAGAACGCAGCCCCCCGGACGTGGCTGTGCGAGAGCCGCCTTGTATAAATAGTAGTTTTGCAAAGGCACCGCTGCTTTAGCAGGACCCACAAGAAGCCCCCCCCCCCCCCAAGCCCACCAGTGAATCAGACTTGGAGAGGGAACCTCCTGGCGGGCCCCTGCTGGGGTCTGCACTGCCAGGGCCACTCTGGGGGAGCGGGGTGGGGGGGCATGGGGTCTGTTCACCCACTTCCTTGGCAGGGATGTCAGCTTCCTGGTGGGACATGCTTGCCTCCCTTGTCACCCAGGAGCCCAGGGGAGCCTCTCCAAACTGCTCACCCAGGGTTTTCCTCCCACTCTCTCCAGTTTCCTCCTTGACGCTCTTGATCCAGTTGTCAAAACAGAACCACCCCTCCTCCTCCTCAATGCCCTCCCCAAGTCTGTGCCCCTCCCTTGAATAGGACTGGGGATCCGACCGTCTCCAAGACATGTACTAGAGGGGGCGATTTCAGTGTTCTTTTGGCTTCTTTGGTTTTTACCTGGGCGTTTTTGGTAAACGTTGTTTCCATTCCACGGTGCTGGGTGATGGCGTGCTCCCCTCTGCCCCAGTTGCGTTGTTTTGTTTTACTAGCAGGTCACAGCATACGTACTGCGCCAGCGAGGTCCAGAACTCTTCCGTACAGGTTTTCCGTGTTTCATGCAGCTTCCTGGGTGCTGTGGTTGATACGGTTGGAAGGAAATCTTAATTCAAAGTGTGAGCCATGATGGCAAACTTGAAGACTGATTCTTTGGGTGTGGGGTGACCTGCTATTGGGGGGGAGAGTCTTGGGATGCTTCCTATGTACTCGATCATGATTGGGAGTCCTCAAAGCCATCAGGCTGGGCTGGAGAGCCATCTCGGAGGACAGAGTTCAAATTCACAGCAAAATGTAAAGTCGTAAGAAGGCAGAAGGCCCTTGGAGGCAATGTGGGGTGGGGGGAGGGCATTGCAGACGGGAGCAGTTGAAGTTCACGTGGGGATTGGTTGAGCAGAGCGCTGGGGGTTAACCTGAAGGTTCATGTGAGGTGAAGTCTAACTCAACCCAGTTTTCCTGGAGGCAGTCATTTCCCAAGGCAAAGCGTATTAAAAGCCAGCCCCGAGCAGTCGAGAGTGCAGAGGGGCTGCCGGGTCCTGCGCCTTTCTTTCCTGGGTCAGCACGGAGAGAGAGAATTTCAGACCTGCAGACCAGCCTTCCGTTCCAGCTCCCGTGTGGCTGAGCCAGGGGCATGGTGGTGGCGGTAGGGGGCTGACCGAAAGCGAAGGCGTTTGTCCCGTGGGTAACCTACTTCGCGGGGACTGACGGGGCAGGAGCGTGTCCTCTGGTTTGTAGAGATCCTCGCGGTTGTAAGTTCCGCGGTGGCTGCGGTTTCTGTAGTTGATGGTCTTGTGTGGGAAGGCGCTCGCCCAGGGCGCTGTGTGATGGCGGGGGTGGCAGTGGGGGAGTGGCAGAGGCTGATTGTGATGACACAGATGGAAGCCACCTCGACACAGGGAACTGAGCTGAGGCTGGCGCTCTGGCAATGCTTGCAGTCCTGTGGGCTCCATTCAGTTTTCCAGCTGGGCTAGTTCAGGTGCTTAGCATTGCAGCTGCAGCTTGAAACGAAAACAAACAAAAACCCAGCATCGATGGCCTTGCTAAGTCGTCCTGCCTCTGAAGGCGGGCGTGTATGAAATAAGTAAGCCGCAGCGCGTGTGTAAAGCAGGCATTTGTATCCAGAATTGCAGCTTTCGAGAGCTGCGGAAGCCCTCGGCACAAGCATGTGTGTGCTTTTCATGTTCACCCGGAGCCGGGGTGAGGAGTAAGGAGAGGAGGAGCGGGTGGTTGGAGAGAGCGCGAGGCAGAAGGTGGGAAGGGGGCAGAATTCAGGGCAGGAGCAGCGGGCGAAGGGGTGGGAGACACAGAGGGAGAGGAGGGAGCCACCCACTCGGCCGCTGTTCCCTGCCTCCTTGTCCACCTGCACGACCCTGTGGCCCAGGCGAAGGGAAAGGCGAGGTGTAGCTGTGGACCCGACAGTGTCTGGCACACAAGCAACACGCCATGGATGCTTCTGGGATGAATGATTCCATGGAGCGACGAGTTGATCTTTGTTTCTGCTTGCCTGCCTGTTACTGGGGTGAACAGTGCACTCACTGGTTGACTTTTGGGGGCCCTGGAAGGAAGCCCGACCTTCCTGTCTTTTCCCATCTCTCGCAAAGCAGTCAGGGTTGGAGGCGGGCAGCGGTTCTGTCTCCTCTTCTGTGCTGGGGATTCCACCACCACGCGTGTGGCTGGGTCCTTCCAGGGCCTGCGGTTGTCTAAATGTCGATCAGGAGGTCTGTGGTGTTTGCACAGGCCCTGAGGGCCCAAGTCTTTACAGCTAGGGATGGAGGAAGGGTGTGTGCCTGGGAGCCAGAGCCGTGTCTTTGGTCGACCCATTGATGGGGATCCCTGGGAGGAGATTTGGGGAGGACCCGCAGGAGCCTGGAGACCTCAAAGCTGGGCTGAGCACAAGGGCAGGGTGGAGGGGGGGTGGGAGCCGGAGCAGATGGAGGTGGAAAGTTAAGCAGGACAGTCTTGTTGGTCTGCCGCTCCCGTGTGCAAACAGCCTCTGCAGTGAGTGCAGAGGGTGATCCAAGGAATATCGGGCAGGTTGAAAGAGACCAGTGCTCCACCCGGCATTCTCTCACCCCGGGATCCTGTGTGCGCGGCACTGCTTGGCTGATCTGTGCCGCGGCATGAACTGCTGTTGGGATCTGCATGGCATCATTGTGCATAGCACACAAAGCATGAAAAGTTCAATCGACGACTCACAAGTCCCTAGGCATACCCCGCTGCTGCTGACCCTGCTCTGCTGTTTCTTCTTATCTCAGCACGTGGGGAGCCTCCTGTCCAGCCCTGACCCTCCTTCACCGCTGCAGAGGTGGTAGCAGCTCGGGGAGCTGTACCCTGGGAGTTCCCGTAACTGCCCAGCCACAAATGAGCCCGGGAGAGCCGAGGAGCTGTGACCCCTCATTTGTGCCTCTGCAGTTTGCACTGGGCGGCCCAGAACCGCTGACCTCCCCTTGAAGGAACTGAGCCAACCCCAGGCTCTCTCTGTCTCTCTGGCTCCCAGCGACAAAGTCTCTGGCTCACCAGTTCTGCACCGTTTCCTCTCCATAAGGCACTCGTTTATTTGTGTGAGAGGCAGACAGACAGACAGAGAGCACCCATCCAATGGTCATCTCCCCAAATGCCTGTTATGGCTGGGACTGGGCCAGGACTCAAGTCAGGAGTTGGAACTCAGTGCAGGTCTCCCACATCAAGGGCAAGAACCCCATTTCTTGAAGCTGCCACCTATTAGCAGGAAGCTGAATCAGCAGCAGAGCTGGGACTTGAACCCAAGCCCTGCGATCGGGCATGTGAGCAATGAACTTCTAGGCCAAATGTCTGCTCACAAGGCTGTACTTTTCAACAACACTAGTTTTTTTTCTCTTCCTTCCAATAAGCAGGAGCAGACACTAAGTGGATGGATGCTTAGTGCCATGCACGCTCCGTGTATGCTGGCCCATCCCGTGTGTGTGTACGCGTGTGTGTGCGCGTATGTGCGTGTCTGTGTGACACCTCTGAACGTTCACTTTTTCTGCCTTCCGTGTCAAAGCCCATCGCACTTTCTAGAAGGAAACCTTCTGACCGCCTGTCTGAACTTCTCGTCACTGCAGCCTTTGTCCTGTTGTGTTTGTCACGTGTGTCCAGACTTCCTGTCCCATCCCTTCCAGTGGCATGCCAGCTCCTGGAAGCCCACGCTTGAGTCTCTGTGCATAGCCGCTCAACACACGTGGGTGGCTCAAGTTGCTCTAGAAGCTACCTTGAACTGGACCTTGAACTAGACCCTTTGGTCTTTCTGTTTGACTCTGGAAGAGTTGACCCTAAGAACTGGTACCAACTCAACATGATGTTGCCCCCTTAGATTATTCTGGCTGAAGCAAAATCTGTTGCTGCCATCTGTGAGGGGCATGTAAGCTCGGCTTTGTGCCCTACCTCC